AGAGTTAATACAGAATTTAAAAAAAAAAAAACAACAACTTTAGAGTAAAAAGCTCTAAATCTTGAGGCAACTCAAGAGGATTATGATCCTCAACATATTAACAAAAGTGGCCCAAAATATCAATTGCTACCTCCAGATCAAGGGAATACAGAATCTGTTTTAATGTCACTTTCCTCTAGTATTAATGGCTTTTAGATAGCACATTTACATTCTCAGCCAGTGTCTCGCAAGGTAAACAGCCAGGCTTTGGGAGACCCCACACTTCTGGGGTAGGGAGTGAGGCATACAGGCTGTAGCCAAGGAAAAAAGGGGTCTCGAGGCCCCGCGGACAGAACCACCAGCATCATGGGCGCAGCGCTCCAGTCTACCCATGCAAGTCCAGCTGTGTAAGCGTCACCCAGACAGCTAGTTAGAAATGATTCTTGGGGAAAAGAAAGAAAGAAAGAAAGGAAAGAAAGAAAGAAAGAAAGAAAGAAAGGAAAGAAAGAAAGAAAGAAAGAAAGGATTCTTGGATACTTGCCCCAGAAGTTTTATTCCCCAAGCCTAAACCAGGACCTGATTTCTTTTTTTTTTTTTTTTTTTAAATTCCGCAGGCAAAACTTGTGTGTAGCTATGTTTGGGAAACATGTCCTCATCAACCAACCTCAAATCCAAGTAGATGTGATGGGCCCCAAAAGCAAGGCATAGAAACACTTTTTAAATCTTTAGGAAGTACTATAAATTAAACCCATAAAAAATACCCACCAGATTTGCCAAGACTTCCAGTCTGACAACTGCAAGCACGGACTACGGTGTGGACAATGGGCCCTCACACGACGCTGACACAACTGCTCTGGAAAACAAGTACATTCTCTTACAGGACTCCAAACATTTATACCCTGTGACTCAGCCACTTCACTACTGAGAGGTGTATTATGGGGACGAGAAGACTGTACAAGAATATTCAAAACAGTGTGGTTCACAATAGCCAAATGCTAGAAAAAACTCAACGCCCATTAACAGTAAAATGGCTGGGGCTTCTGGGTGGCTCAGTCAGCTGAGTGATTCTTGATTTTGGCTCAGGTCATGATCTCGGGGTCATGGGGTCCAGCCTTGAGTGGGCTCCGTGCTGGGGCTGAGCGTGGAGCCTGCTTGAGATTCTTTTCTCTCCTTTCCCCTCCGTTGCTCCTCCTCCCCCCAACTCTCTCTCTCTCAAAACAAACAAACAAACAAACAAACAAACAGTAAAATGGCTAAATTGTGGTATATTTATACAATAGGAAACTACACAGAACAATGAAAAGGAAAGAATTACAGATTTTTTTCACAACATATGGATTAAATTCAACACAGGATGCTGTACAAAAGAAACTACACATTTCTTGAATTCATTCAGAGGACTATAAACAACATAAAAACATATACGCATAAAAAGTTCCAAAAAACAAACAACAACCCACACTGGTTGGGGATGCCTCCATGAGTCCCAAAGCTATACAGACAAGCCGGGAATGATTATCCCGGATGCCACCAAAGTGATGACTGCGGAGGAAGGGATGGGTTACAATGAGGAACATCCGGGCGGTAATAGTCTATTTCTTCCCTCCCCTCCCCCGCCTCCTTCCCCTTCCCCTGAGCTGGTGGTTACAGAGATACTGACTGTTTAATTGTTAAACTTTATGTATTAGTTACGGTCACATTAGATGCTGTAATAAACAGACACACAAAAACATGTAATGACTCCAACAAAACAGGTTCATGTAATAGCCCGATGCAGATATTCCTGGTCGCTGGGCAGCCTCCCTGGGCGGCTGATTCAGGGGTCCCCGCCCCCTCTGTTCTGGGGTGCCATCACCCAGAACCTCATCATTCTTCATCCAGCCACGGGAAGGGAGACATGAGAGCAGGGGCAAGGCCCACTTGCTCCTAAAGAGCCCCAACCTGAAAATGCGCCACAGGTCGCTGCAGGCAGAGCTGCCACCAGAGCCCCAGCACCCCGCGAGCCCACAGGGGTCCCTATGCTTGGGCTGCAAGTCAGGACAGGGAGAACATAGACTCCAGCCCAAGAGCTCAGTGTCCGGGGCCACACTTCCACTCTGCTGCATACGCTGTCCTACGTGGGTGTCACAGTTCACGATTAGGAAGGCAATTGGGAAACCATTGCTCTATCTGTCCAAGTCATCATGGGCCCACCCCAAGGAAGAAATCCAAAATGTTCTATACACGCAATTAAATTAGGAAGGCAAGGCATGAAATTGATAGTATTAAACTGTTATGTGTCTATCTATACCTTATGTTTACTATGCATGTTGAAACCCACAAAAGTCTTAAAATTACAAGTGTCCTAAAAGACTGGCTAGCCCAGCCCCTCAGTCCACAGCGTGTTTTCCTCAGAAACTGCCTGGATATGGTCGGTCATCCATCTCCTGACTTCCAGAGAGGACGCTCACTACTTCACAAGCCAATTTGTTCCATTGTTGGAAACCACTAAATTTCCAAAAGTTCTTCCTGACAGAGACCTAAACTCTTCCTCTGAGAGTCCTCCTTGCATCTGCTGGCCTGTCCGCACCCAGGTCAAGTCAAGGGACCCTCTGTGGTCCCACAGCACCTACACACACTCCGTGGTTTGCCCCTGTGTGCACTCCTCCATGAGCATCTCCACACTCCTCAGGTGGGATACAGATTCTGGTACACGGTAAATAAACTTTTGTTTTTTTAAGGAACTGGCCTATTTTTGTGTCTTCTAAAAAGAGCCTAATTAGCTTTCCACAAGGATAACCCCTTTGAAGATGCACAAACTCCTTTCCACAGTAAGTCACAGAAACGTAACAAATGCTCTTTGGAGAACAGCATTCGGACTTTCTACCAACTTTGTCCAATTCATTTATACACTACTTAAATAAAGAAAACCAGGTATTTCTCTGCTTTTGATGTAACAATTTTAAAATCCTACAATACCAATATATAGCTTCCTTAAAGTCACAGTCTGATGCTTTGTTTAACTACATTTTAGAAGACAAAATACTGCTTGGGATTTTAACACTTGCTCTGACACCCTCCAGAAATGTTAAAAGTCATTAAAAAGAATTCCAAATAAAAAGTTCTAAGGAAATATAAGGGGGAAAAAAAGACCAAAGATACATAAAATTTAGCTTAGTTCAATATTTTCTTTGGAGAACAGGTTAAAAACAGAGTTCAACCCTCATTTCAAATGCATCAATTCGGAGGGAGTGGGGAAATAGAAAGTTCTATGCACTCTCAACACTAGTGGGTTTTTTTTTGTTTTTTTTTTTTTTAAAGATTTTATTTATTTATTTGAGAGCGAGACAGTGAGAGAGAGCATGAGCGAGGAGAAGGTCAGAGGGAGAAGCAGACTCCCCATGGAGCTGGGAGCCCGATGTGGGACTCGATCCCGGGACTCCGGGATCATGACCTGAGCCAAAGGCAGTCGTCCAACCAACTGAGCCACCCAGGCGTCCCAACACTAGTGGTTTTTAAATGTTCAAATTAAAGTCAAGAATTATACAGTACCCCAGCAGTACTAACATACACATCTCAAAACAAACTTTATTAGACTCCTGTTTTCTTTATGAAACTTAGCTAATAATCCCATTAGTTCTAAGTATTAATACCATTCCTGCTCACAAATTATTGTTCTCAGGCTGAAACACTGTCACATAAACCAAGTTTTCCAAATTGTTAACTGAAATAGTCTATCAGAAAATGTAAACACAAAACTTGATGGCTTTTGGTGCAGCAAAAAAACACAAGGTCCACTGTCACTGAACAGAATGCATCATGACACAAACAAATTAAGAGGAGGGAACAGTTCAATATAGACTAAGAAGCAAAGCATCACACTAACTTAAAATACCTAAAATTGTTTTAATGATTGGGGGATCATGGATAATAAAAATAACTGGCCAACAAGAGCTTCTGCTTGAGGTTTAAATCTCCCTCTGCAGCCGTCACTGTAATTCCCATGCATAGTATAGTCGGTTCTAATTCTTCGGGTGCTCTGAAGAGCTAAGCAGAGCCTCAGAACCAAAACAGAAGAAGGGTAGGGAGATGATAAGGCCAAACAGAATGAAGTAGCATAACAGGTTTCGGAGTCCAGCTGCTGCTAACTTGTTCAATATCTCTTAACTTCAGCTTCGAAACCAACATCTTCAAACAGACGAAAAACCAGCTAGAAGAGCTAATGGAAAGAAAAAACGCAGATCCAACAGCAATCAGAAATATTAAGTAACTAAAAATAATCTTAAGAAGAAACAGACAATATCTACATGAAACAAATTTTAAAATGCTCTGGACAGGAAGACATCCAAACACTACTTGCCTAGAAAGGGCGGCCATTCTTGGGTAGGAAGACTCCAGTGTCAACAAAACTTTACTGCTCCCATCAATCACTACATTTAAGTCCAGCACCGTAAAACATCAAGAGACTTCTTAGAAAAGAAAAAGTTGATCTTAAAATATAGAAATATGAATCAGTGAAAAGGCCAGGAAATTTGCAATGAGAGGAGACTTCCCCTATCAGAGAGTGAAGCAGATTTGAAAACTACAATGAGGCTGGATGAAGAGAGAGACGAATAAAACAGACCCGGAAGTCCAGAGAGATTCAAACACATCACGGGCATAGAGAATGTAATAAAGGCAACATTTCATAATGTTCTGGGCCAAAACCAATAAAAAAAATTAGAAGCAACCCCATTACATAAATATAAAAAAATTCCCTAGTTGCCAAACACTATAAGCAAAGTAAAAACATAAACCTGAAAGGAATACTTAGAAATCACACCATAAATTGGGGCGCCTGGGTGGCTCAGTGGGTTAAAGCCTCTGCCTTCGGCTCAGGTCATGATCCCAGGGTCCTGGGATCGAGCCCCACATCGGGCTCTCTGCTTGGCAGTCAGCCTGCTTCCCTTCCTCTCTCTCTGCCTGCCTCTCTGTCAACTTGTGATCTCTGTCTGTCAAATAAATAACAAATAAAATCTTTAAAAAAGAGCAGCGTTGCATCACTTCCGGCCTCCCTCTAGCTGCCATCTTGCGTCCCCGCGTGTGTGCACCTAATCTCAGCTGGTCCGCCCGAGACCCCCTGAGCGCCAACCCTAGTCCCCCGCGCGGTCCCATTTCCGCTCCAACAAGATGAAAGAAACTATCATGAACCAGGAGAAACTCGCCAAACTGCAAGCACAAGTGCGCATTGGTGGGAAAGGAACTGCTCGCCGAAAGAAGAAGGTGGTTCATAGAACAGCTACAGCAGATGACAAAAAACTTCAGTTCTCCTTAAAGAAGTTAGGGGTAAATAATATCTCTGGTATTGAAGAAGTGAATATGTTCACAAACCAAGGAACAGTGATCCACTTTAACAACCCCAAAGTTCAGGCATCGCTGGCAGCGAACACTTTCACCATTACAGGCCATGCTGAGACAAAGCAGCTGACAGAAATGCTACCCAGTATCTTAAACCAACTTGGTGCAGACAGTCTGACTAGTTTAAGAAGACTGGCTGAAGCTCTGCCCAAACAATCTGTGGATGGAAAAGCACCACTTGCTACCGGAGAGGATGATGATGATGAAGTTCCAGATCTTGTGGAGAATTTTGATGAAGCTTCCAAGAATGAAGCAAACTGAATTGGGTCAACTTCTGGAGAAGATAAAACTTGAAGAAGTTACTGGGAGCTGCTATTTTATATTATGACTGCTTTTTAAAATTTTGTTCATGGATCTGATAAAATCTAGATCTCTAATATTTTTAAGCCCAAGCCCCTTGGACACTGCAGCTCTTTTCAGTTTTTGCTTATACACAATTCATTCTTTGCAGCTAATTAAGCTGAAGAAGCCTGGGAATAAAGTTTGAAACAAGATTAATAAAGTTCTTTGCCTAGGAAAAAAAAAAAAAAAAATCTTTAAAAAAAAAGAAATTACACCATAAAAACCTACTTTCCTCAATATATATAAAGCTCCTACAAATCAATAATTAAAAAAGCAACAGGGGTGCCTGGCTGCCTCAGTGAGTGGAGCCTGCATCTCTTGATCTTGGAGTTGTAAGTTCAAGTCCCACATTAGGTGTAGAAATTACTTAGAAATAAAATCTCTAGAAAAAAAAGGTGATAAAATAATAGAAAAATGGGCAGATATGTACATGGCCAGTTATCATTCACATGAAAAAGAAATGCCCAAACTTTATAATAAGAGAAATGGAAATTAAAATCAGAATAAAGTAACATTTCACTTATCTAACTGAGTAAAATAAACTTCAAAAGCACTCTGTATTGTCAAGTGCATAAGGAAACAGGGACTTGGAAACACGGTTGGTGGTAATGTATCCTAACAAAATGCTGATGGAGAACAATTTGGCACGGTGGGGGAGGATGCATTTAATATTATGTATGCGCACTGCAGATTCTATAACGGGAAAATTGGAAAAGACAGAGACTGAAGTATGGTACATTAAGTCAATGAAATGCTAAACAGCCATCAAAAAGAATGAGGCAACCCCGTAAGTACCAAGATGAAATGATCTAGATTTCCTAGAACAGAAGACCTTTCTCCTTGTCAAGAAAACACTGATTTGGTTCAGTTACCAGGCAGCCGCTTGCCTCAAGAAAAGCTAGACCCTTCCCTAGTGCCAGGGGATGAACAGTGACCAGTCTCAGAAGTCACTGCCAACAGCTAATTCAGGACACGGACGTGTGCTGCAACTCTGGTTCACGAGAAATGAAGCCGGAGACTGTCAGCAGTCTTCGTCACACGTGAAAATGGACACAACAAAGATATGTGGGTTTTGCCCACGGACTTAGCAAGTTACGTGAGACCCACGGACTGGGAAAGGTGCCTGGGATTTAGATGAGGCACTGCCTAAGAGAAATAAATAGGGAAGCAGAAGAAAAAGAACAAAGAAGCAGGCCTTGAAGACCTCAGTAAGCTCCTGGACCCATGCTATCTCTGGGTCTCCACAAGGTCACCGACATGCCCGTGGGGATATCGTTGGAAGGATACCCCAGGAACTGGTAACAGTGGTTGCCCTTCAGGGCAGAGGATGGGGTAAAGAGAGACTTTCCATCATATATCCCATCTACTTTTTTATTTTGCACCACAGTCATTTACTATCTACCCCCAAATAATTATTTTTTTTTAAATGACACATGCTTGTGGAGTGCCTGGGTGGCACGGTGGGCTGAGCGTCTGATTCTTGGTTATAGCTCAGTTCACGATCTCAGGGTCGTGAGATCGAGCCCCACGTCCAGCTCCGTGCTCAGCACAGAGTCTGCTGGAGACTCTCTCTCCCTCTCTTGCTCACGCACACGCTCTCGCTCTCTCTCTCTCTCTCTCAAATAAATAAATCTTTTCTTAAAGTGATTCATGCTTGTTTTCAAATTTCCAAACAAAAAAATTGGGCACCAAGATTTAGGATCACAATGATCTCATCTCCCTACACTGCCTCTGCGTTGCTAGTTTCATCCCACTAAATGTCCCGTGGCGGCAGCCAGGTCCTAAAGGATGTGAGCATCTCGAACCTGATTAGGTCCCTGGCATCGGTGAGCTCTCTCAACAAGCATCGAGTAAACTGAACTCCACTACTGTCAGAGCCAACTTTGGTAACACAAAACTCTTAACTCGAGAACGACCACCTGCCATAATTAGGAAAAATAAATCCAAACCAAAACACTGGGAAACTCGTTTTTTATAAACCATCATAAAAATCTACAGATTACCCAGTAAGAATAGCATTCCTCACAAAATTCAGATTGGACACATAAACTGAATTCTTCACTGTATCCTCTTCTAACTCCTCTTTCCCCCAAACCTGCCCCTTCCCTCTCAGGGCCTCAACTCAGTTAATGGGGTCGCCTCCACCCAGCCCCTCAACTAGACACTACGGAACATGTACTCATATTTGGGGGGCTTCCAAAACACTTTTTAAATCACTCCTATATAGCACTGGTCACTTACGGGCCTATTAGTCTGACTTTCCTTTAAGACCGTGAGCTTCTCAAGGCTCGAGGACAAATTCTGTCTGTCCATGCACTCCCACTCATCCCCGAATGGAGTGTCTAGCCCCACGTGTGCTTCTAATTTACAGAAAGAAAAAGGAGGGGGAGAAGTTATGCCTCCGAGTTTGCTTAAAACGAAGGAGAGCAGACTACTAAGAACAGAACAGCTCATGTTAACTTCCATCTTTGTGAGAGGCTTAACCCTCTTTGTATTAATTGCTACAATTAGAAACTTCACAACCAGAAATTTAAAAATAAATACGGAAGCATAAAGATGAATCCTAGCCACCATTCGACAAACACCTACTGTTTAGTTACAACGAACACAGATGTGATCCTGCGCTCACAGAACCCACCAGCAGCAGGAAGACACGCAAATGGACAAGAAGATGGCGGCTGAGTGGGAGGCAGGCGGACGGCTGGCGCGTAAGAGCGCAAAGTGGAGGGACTCACGCGGGATGTGCCTCGCGACTGTATCCTCGCTCCTGGATTGTGTGGCCGGTGCCTCCATGATATGGCAACTCCCACGTCAACAACACACGTTGGGAGGGGCCAGCAAAGAACCCTCCTCTCCCAGGACACGCACACCCCTAGACACGGTATTCTGTCCTCTTCCCTCCCAGACGCTGGCGCGGGGAGCTGCGAGGCAGGAGCCAGACCTCCCGTAACCTCCCACCCCGCGGTGAATGCCACATCATTAAGAACAGCCAGACTCCCAGGGGCTTATCAAGTGACAGATCCTGAAGCGTATTCCCGGATCATCCACAGAAACCAAACGCAGGAAGCTCTTCCAGATGCGCAGGAGCAGGAAGCCGGTGATTTCATCAAGACCTCAACGGAGGTTAGAAGCACCTACCTTCTACCTTCCAGATTAACTGGAGCTTATCTCCCTTCGTTTCACTCTCAACTGTCTATGTAAAACTCCGAGGAACTAGTTAAGAGGAATTTATTGATACTTGCCTATGAAATTAAAACCGTATCCACAGCTGCCAAACTACAAAGCTCAAGTAAAGGCAATCTGTCGAAGCAAATTTAATCCAGATAAAAATAAATAAACTCAACACACGCACGCACGCGCACACACACACACACACACATCCCAAAATAACACATGAGCACAGACACAAAGAAAGGGCTAGTCTGCCTAACATCCCCAGCACTTGTCAAACTTACTCTGACATTTGACTAGCAAGCTGCTCATCCGTGAGCTGGATAAAGGGGGATAAACGGAAGAACAAGGAACTACCGTCCTTTTTATTAAGAGGGTCTGGTGCACGTGTGTGTGCGCATGTGTGAACACCTCAGTATCCGTCTCTTCCGTGGTCACGAGTAATACCAGCAAATCCCAAGACACGCAGAAAGAAAACATGAGTCTGAACGGACAGTGACGGCATAAACGATCCCAGCATATCCACACGACAGGTATCACTGAGCAATAAAATGGAATGAACTATTGAGACACACCCAACAGCATGGATAAATCTCAAAATAACTATATTGAGTGAGAAAAGTGAAAAAAAGAAGAAGGACCACGGTACAATTCTATTTATACACGTTTCTGAAAATGCAAATGATTGTCTGATGACTGAGAGCAGATCAGTGGTCGCGTGGGGATGCGGGACGGGGAGAAGCAAGAGGCAGGTGTTACTCAGGGGCACAAGGAAGCCTCAGGGGTGACGGAAACGTGCATGATCCCGATTGTGGTGACATGTGACGGATGGATACATACATCAAAACATCCAACCTTACATTTTAAACATGTGTAGTTTATTATGTATCCATTACACCTCAAAACAACCCTTTAAGGGGTGCCCAAGGTGCAGTTGGTTGAGGGTCCAGCCCTTGATTTTGGCTCAGGTCATGATCTCAGGGTCCTGGGATTGAGCCCCGTGTCCGGCTCTGCGCTCAGCACCGAGTCGGCTGGAGATTTTCTCTCCCTCTCCCCTGCCCCTCCCCCAGTGCACACGCCTTCTCTCTCTCTCTCTCTCTCTCTCAAGTAAACAGATAAAATCTTTAAAAAAACAGAAGTTGTTTAAAATGTTTTAAATAACAATCAATTCACATCGACCACTGTGGGGGTTTCCATGAGAACGTCACAGCAGGAGTGAGATCACCCTGACTTTTAGAAGCATATGTCATTTCAGTCACATACTGCACTTGTGGACAAGCGACAGACAGCAGTTTCGGAATAAATATAGATGGGAAACACCTACAGGCTCATCTTTCCTCCCTGTTCATTGCTCTCATGGTTTAAAAAGATAGACCCGTTTCGTCAAACTTCTCGGGTGCCTCAGAGAGGCTCTGGGGCTCAGTCGACGTCTGGCGTTCAGACAGAAGGGAGCCAAAAGGCCGCCCAGGCCCGCTTCCTCACTTTCAAGGAGACTGAAGAGCCGGCCCTGTCTTGGGGAGTTCACGTGTGTTTGTGGACATGCGACTTTGTCATCTTAGTCTCGAACTCTCCGCCAGGCTTCAGGCGCGTTTACTCAACTGCCCGCTAAACCAACGCACCTCGATGTCTCATAATATCTAAAAACTTACGGGAGCCCAGAAGGGAACTCTTGATCCTCCACCACCGGCCTCTCCCCGAAATTCCCACATCTCAGTCGATGCAGCGTCACAAAGCCAGCGGCTCGGCCAAGTCAGCTGAACAGCAACCGACCCCGGACCACCACCACTCTCCTCCCTTCCACGGCGACTCCGTTCTGGATCCTCTCCGCTCTCTCTGCCAGTTGTCCCGCGCCACGCATCCGGCTCCACCTCCAGTGCTGCCCACGCCTCCCCCGGTACCGACACGGTCCCTCTGTTCCCTCTCGTGCCTCCACACACCAGTCGCCACACGGCAGCCAGTACCGTGATCACATCGGTCCCCAGCTTCCAAACGAGCGAGGAGACCACCATTACCACTAAAA